TATACTAGCATAGTTGTCGAAAAACCGTATGCAAAACGGGAAATAGTACAATGTCATAACTGCCAATCATATGGCCATACTAAAAGCTATTGCCACCGCTTACCGCGTTGCGTGAAGTGCGGGCAGCAACATAAGTCGGAAGATTGCAATAAGTCCAGGCAAACTCCTGCTGTGTGCGCATTATGCCATAAAGATCACCCAGCAAATTACAAGCGAGCAAGACATATAAAATCTTAAAATCAAGATTACAGACAGCGCCTAGACATGAAGAGACTTCCAGGACTCCCAGACCACCAAGGCAACCCTCAAGATTTGCAAACAAAGAAGTCTCCTATGCTCAAATGTTAGGAGAATTAGAACAGTATACTCAACCTCAGGCCCTGCCGCAAACTCAACCACTACCTCATGGTGCACCACCCGAACATAATAACACCCAAAAGTTCAGTCCTCAACAAATATCCTACATTCCTCCCCCTAACAATTCCAATGACCTTACCAGCCTCCTTACATCATTCCTCTCCGAAACCAAATCCCTCATCACACCGCTCATTACCTTACTTACAAATGTCATAGCCAATCTTATCCCTTCGCCAAGAATTCCTTAAATGTCCTCAATTAAACCCCTCTCCATTCTCCTTTGGAATGCGAATGGTGTTCGAAATCACATCAACGAACTAACCTTTTTTCTACAGGACAATAACATAGACATAGGCCTAATAACTGAGACCCGACTAACAAATAAAAGACAGTTCAACATACCTGGCTACAAGATATATCGAACTGACCACCCTGATGGAACAGCACATGCTGGCACTGCTGTCATTATCCATCAGTCCCTCTCCCATCACTTGTATCCTTTACCAGTTCACAATTTCCTACAAATCTCAGCAATAACTATCCAAACTTCACTTTTTCCTCTTACAGTTGTCGCAGCATACTCTCCACCTAAAATAGCAATACCTGAACCTAACTTCATTTCCTTACTTAATTCCCTAGGACACCACTTCCTTATAGGTGCAGACCTTAACGCCAAACATCAGCAATGGGGAACCAGAACCACGAATTCCAGCGGGCGATCGTTGCTCTCTGCACTTAATTCCCACAATTCCAACATACTTCTCCCTGATACTCCTACATACTGGCCAACCGATCCTAACCGTAATCCAGATATCCTCGACTTCTTCATTCACAAAGGTCTCGGGCCGCTAAATTACTCAGTTCTACGGCTCGACGACCTTTCCTTAGATCACAGTCCGCTAAATCTAACCCTTTCCGCATCTCCTATCCCCAGGTTATCTCCTCCCTCATTCATCAGAGGCCCAGTCAACTGGAACCTTTTCCGCCAAACAATAACAGATGCAATAGACCTCAGAGTATCCCTAAAAACCCCTCAAGACCTAGATAATGCAGTGAGTTCCTTTACCACCTTGATCCAACAAGCAGTCTGGACTGCATCCTCACCAATCCCCTCCAAAAAATACCTTAAAAAGATTCCTCTGCCTCAAATCCTTACCGACCTCATTAAATCCAAACGCCAATCTAGGACTATCTGGCAAAGAACCAGGCATCCTGATGATCGGAAACTGTACAATTATTATACCAAACAGGTAAGAAAAGAACTAGCTTCCTTCAGATCCGATGACAATTCTCTCTGGAAGTTGACCAGAAAAATACTTAAATACCATTCTGTTTCCCATCCCCTCCGATGCGATGATGGAACCTGGGCTTCTTCAGATGAGACTAGAGCTGAAGAATTTGCCAAACACCTATCCAAAACATTTACTCCCCACCCTGAACTCCATTCCACCCTCACTGTTGAAGTTAAAAAATTCCTCTCTTCTCCTATTCCTCTCTCCTTGCCTCCTATAGCTGTCAACCCCTCTGAGGTCAAATTCCTTATAAGCAACCTAAAACGTCGAAAATCCCCTGGACACGATCTCCTTACTTCCCAGATCCTTAGACAACTTCCCAAAAAAACAATTATATTCCTCACATACCTATACAACTGTATTATCCGCACAACTCACTTTCCTCTGACATGGAAACACTCCATAATCATCCTCTTCCCAAAACCAGGTAAATCTGTCAATAATACCTCATCCTATAGACCAATAAGCTTGCTCCCAATCCTCTCCAAAATCTTTGAAAAAATCCTTCTCAAACGTATCCTACCCATACTCGAAACCCACAATATCCCATCCCATCAGTTTGGATTCCGCTCAAGACATTCCACTGTTCAACAAGGCCTTCGCGTTGTTGATCATATATCCTCTGCGCTTGAAAACAAGGAATATTGCACCGGTGCCTTCCTGGACGTAGCGCAAGCTTTCGACCGGGTGTGGCATGATGGCTTGCTTTTCAAGCTCAAAACTCACCTAACCCAATCCTTGTACCTAGTCCTCAAATCCTACCTCTCAAATCGTTCTTTTCAAGTCCGCTGCGGCACTGAATTCTCCAACTATTATCAAATTGAAGATGGTGTTCCACAAGGCAGTGTCTTGGGCTCAGTTCTCTTTATCCTCTTCACCGCTGACATTCCAACCAACCCCGATACCCTTCTAGCAACCTTCGCTGACGATACCGCCATCCTGTCATCCCACTAATCTAAGGTATATGAAGCTTTTTACCCTCTCAAACTTAATAGAACCTACCTCAAATGGAGATCCACCTCACCACCAACTCTCAGATACTTGGTTTTCTTCTAGTTGACTTCTAGACCAAGTCGTCTTGCAACTGCTTCAAGGGCTGTAAACGCTTCTCTGAGAGCTCATTCAGACCTTCCTATTATATCAATATCATGAGCAAAACCAAGAACCTGTGTCAGGCGATTGAAGATTATGTCGCTGGTCTCAATACCGGCATCTCTACCAATTTGAATAAAAAGCAGGCGAGAGCATCTTTTGCCGAACCTCATTGCTCACTTTAAACTTTTCAGAGGGATCAGAATCGACGCGTATTTTAACATTTCGAGCTGTCCATCATCATCTTGATTAGGCGTATGAGCTTCTGAGGGATGCTTAGCTCCTCCAAGGCAGCTGGTGTATGCTGCTTTAAAGTCCACGAATAAATGCTGGTTAACTACCTTACGCTCCATACTCTTTTCTAGGATCTTCCTGAGGGAGAACAGTTGATCAGTGGTTGAGCGTCCTCGTCAGAATCCAGCCTGATATTTCCTCAGTTCCTTTTCAGCATACGGGAGGATCCTCTCAAAAGGAATGATAGAGAGCAGCTTATAACCACATGAAAGGAGTGAGATTCCTCTATAGTTTGATCTCCTTTCTTATGTATGGGGTAGATAATGAATGTTGCCCATTCCGTAGGCATAGCTTCCCTCTCCCAGATGGTCAGCATTAAGTCATGCAGAGCTTTCTTGAGTTCTTTACTCCCACATTTCAACAGCTCTGACTGGATTCTGTCCGGGCCTGGTGCCTTTCCCTCCTGGCGCCTCTGTTTAATGTGTCTTTGTAGTGTTCGACCCATCTCCTTAGTATGTCATCTTTGTGGCTTAAAAGAGTTCCATCCGTGTCTTTGCATGCCGTCACTCTGGGCCTGAAAGCTGCCCTACCCTCATTTATTCTCTGAAAGAACAGGTGACTTTAATTTTGGGAGCGCAATGACTCTGTGTCCTCCATGTTCTTATTTTCCCAACACAATTTAATGGGTAATTATTTTTTAATTATAGAGTAGTTAATAACCTTAAAAAATGCCTATTAATACTACTTCTATTGCCATTATATTTAATTATGTTTCTGCAATTACTGTTAACTGCAATTTGTTTCCTATGTTGATTATTGACACAGTGAAAACAAAGTGAAAATATTAAATAAATCTAGTGTTTCATATTTTTTCCCAGTGATTAAAACTATCCTTGGGATATCCTGTCCCCCATTCCTAATGTAATAAGAATTAATAAATCATTACTGAAACAAGTAGAAGGTGAAAAAAAAAAGAAATCAAAAACCTTCTGTCAGGCGATATCTATTGATAAAACAAATAGCTGCAGAGAGAAGTGATCCCCTCCCCCACCGCATTTTCATCTTCCATTTCTCTTAAGGCAATGCACAAAGCCCCGAGAAATACATTCCATGGGTTGATACTATTAACAATAATCATTCATCACCAATACATGTTCCCTACTAAACAAAGAAAGACATCCTTGATGTTCATTAAATACATCCATAATGAGGAATGAAGCATTAAGAATCATTTCCTGGCAGAGCAGCCTTTTTAATATAACTCCTATTTTTTATTTATTAATCTTTGCAATGGATTTGTTTGTTAAGGGATAGTTTAGTTTATTATCTTAATAGTTGGTAGTACAGAATTATCCAAAAAGTTTTAGTAACAATAATCTACTTCATTTCAGTCAGGTATTAAAATGGTAATAATTAGCACTCTGGGCCTAGCTTTAACAAGCAGCTTGCTACTGTATGACAGTGTTTTTTTCTGTCTAATAGTTATAAGTAATAAAATACTACTTTAATTAGAGATGTCATACCTAAAATATACAGTTTATCTAAATGAATACCAGTTTCTAGTTCATATTCTACAGGTTCAAATTTCGAAATAGAAAATATAACTTAAATTATTAATGATAACTGAATATTAGCAAAACTCGGTGTATTATTCTAGTATGATCAATCAACAGATTATAGATGTGCAGAGGGAAATTGTTTAACATATTCTAACAAATATGATTTCTGCATTTCATTACATCTTTCAAGCCCTATAATTACCTGCTCATGGTGTACATTTCACGTATTTGGGTAACCATTACATTACTCATTAAAATGGAGTTTAGAACTCCTTCATAAATGATATAATTGAAAAATGTTAGTGATAAAAATTTGTTTTCTTCAATGACTGATTTTCTGATAATCTATAATCTAGATAAAATAATTTATTTTAATTGAAAAAATAATCAAAATATACTAAATTTGAATAAAAAATAATTACATTAAACTTGGAAAATGGTTAAATTTGAAACATAAGAGGTTTTATTAGATTTGTAAAACTGTATTTTAATCTTTTTAAAGTAGTAGATAATATAATTTTAAACAACAAATTATACACATTTAGAGTCTGATTTGTATTTGTTTATTTAAACTAAAAATCTATTTATTCTGTTTTTTTAGTGAAGTATATCATATAGACTGAGATGTAATACTAACAATGTTCTAGCTACTCACTTCTATTGGCATTCATCATATATCAGGTATATTAATTTACATTCAACAAGAGTAAATTAAGACTTTTAACAAACTTTTAGAATTAGAACATCTATTTTAAAAGTAAGTAAATTTCTACAAATTGTCTGAATAGACTATTTAATTACTACAATATCATTAAAATACGTTTTCTTATGAATATCAGTCATATAAATTACACAGAACATCACAGATAAGGTTCCTCAAGAGTTGTAGCTCATTTAATTTTTTTTAAATCTAAACGGTAGTAGTGAAAATTAAAAAACATAAATTAGTAACAAACGAGTTTTTAAACAGTAACAAAACATCCATTAAAACATAAAAACTAAATACTTATAAAAAATAATTTTTATAACAAGACTAGATCATCTAAGATTTCTTAACTAATTATTAACAACTCATGGTGATAAAACAAAATAAATAAACTGATAAATCAAATGTAACATAATTTTGAATTTTAAGTCAGTTGAACAACATATTTTTTTATCAGAAAATTACATCATATTTTATTTTCCTCTGCATCACGATTGTCAGGGCTAAATTGATCTTGTTTGTCATCTGTTTTCAACTTGTTAATCCGCTTACCTATATTAACTACAACCTGAAAAATATGTTAAATGTATCCATAATTATTTCCATGAATGTAAAAATTAATTATAAGAATAATTATTTCTAAAAAGAGAATCAATTATAGAGATGGGTTTTACACAAGTTTTTATTGTTTATAATATTATTATTTAGCATGCATTGCAAAACATTTAGGTGAAAAACTAGAATGTCAGAAGATATTTATTTTCTATGTTGCAACAACAGCAACAGAACTTCAAGTTAAGAAGTTTGGACTTGCTGTCAACCAAACAAAAACGAAATACATGCTAGCGGGACCAGAGTGTTTCCAGGAAGGGCATATTGAGATGGGAATATATAAGTTTGAGAGGGTGCAACACTTTGTGTACTAGGTTGGGGTCTGAAATAAATTCAGGTATAGACCAGTAAAATAGGGGATTGACCCCAAAATTAAAAAAATAAAGATGGAACTTGTCAGAAATTGTTTATTACCCTCAATAACTGGTAAAAAGTCCCAAAGAATCCCGCATCAGTTTTTGATAGGGAGAAGGGGGAGAAGGACAGAAAAATTATATTTTTTTAGTTTTATAAGAATATCTAAAAAACTATCAGGTTTTTCGAAAATAGTGCTCAGTAAAATATTAAAGTACTTTAAAATGTCTATAAAAATGGTCCTATACATTTTTTTTATAAAATAAATGGTTACGGAGGTATTTATGAGATTATATTTATTGCATTTCCACTTTAAGCAAATATTGCTTCAAACCACAAAATTGATGTGGTTCAAGTTTAGATTGACATTAATTTCATACAATTGATAATATGTGATATAAGACATTAAAAATAATAAAAATTTACAATAAATAAAACCATAGTATGATTGTATACAGAAACCAGAAAAATTAAATTTGGTAATTTTTAAGCCAATCACGTTTTATGTTTAATAAAAAGCAATAATTAAAAAAATGTTTATTTGAGGTTACAATCAATTACTTCATAGTAAACTAGATTAAATCTGAAATGAATCTTGTCTACTTTAAAACCATTTAAAGGGGACTTTTAAGCAGTTAAACAAACTACTGTAGTTCGGTTTTTCATAAAATCAAGGGTTCTTTGCAATTTTGTTTATAAACTATCAGCTGGACTGAAGATACCACACTTTCAAAATTACATCCTTGTTTGACGATCTTTAAGTCTATATTAGTTAAGTTGAGTTTACATTTTCTCTAATTGAGTAAAAATATTATTAGTACGGTAAAATTAAGGATTGACCCCAATATATTTACATCTTTTAACTCAATTAGCATGAATCTCAACTTACTCTGTAACAATCCACAACTTTATTAATATAGACTTAAAGCCCATCAAACAAAGAAGTTTTTCTGAAAGTGGCATATTCAGTCCAATTGGGAGGTTATAAGAAAAATCTTGAAAAATCCTTGATTTTATGAAAAACCGAACATACCGTAGTTTAACTGCTTAAAAGTACCCTTTAAATTATTTAAAACAAACAAGATTTACTTGAATTTAATTTAGATTTAATCTAGTTTACTATGAAGGAATTTGTTATAACCTAAATCAAACATTTTTTTAGTTATTGCTTTTTATTCGACGTAAAACGTGGTTGGCTTAAAAATTACTAAGTTTAAGTTTTCTAGTTCTCCGTATGTAATCAGATCTTGGTTTATTATAAGTTTTAATGTATTCTATTACATATAATCAATTATATGAAATCAATGTCAATCTAAACTTCATATCATTATCATGAAATTCCCCACTGATTGATATCAAATATAATTCTATTGTCAATGACTTTTTAGAATCATTAAAAGAAAGAAACTTTGAATAATAATTTGAAGGATCGAAAATGTTAAAAAATGAATGAAACTTCAAAAAGGTATCGTCTACTAAGAACAACATCAATTTTGTCAAAAAAAAAATGTATAGGATCATTTTTATAGAGATTTTTAAGCACTTTAATTATATACTGAAAAATCATTGCAAAAAACTTCACAGTTCTTAAGATATTCTTAAAAATCTAAAAAAAAATATCATTTTTCTGTGGGATTCTTTGGGACTTTTTACCAGTTATAAGGAGGGTAATAAACAATTTTTGACAAGTTTCATCTTTATTTTTTTAATGTTGGGGTAAGGCAGATTTTCCCCAAACTTTACCAGATTAATAGTGATTTATCTCAAGATATGAAATGTCGGATCGCAGCTGCAAAATGTGCTATTTTGGCCTCGCCAAGCTATTTAAAAGTAGATATATTACTAATGTGATCAAAGCGAGGCTTTACAAAGTCCTGATTTGCCTAGTCCTCGTGTATGGATCTGAAGCTTGGACGTGGAATAAGGCCGATGAAAAAAGACTTTTGATTTTTGAGAGAATGATACTCAGAAGAATTTTCGGTCCAATAGAGGAAGGTAACGTCTGGAGGAGAAAAAAAAAATCAAGAGATCTACGCACTCTTCAAGAGCACAGATGTTGCTAGATGGATCAGTGCGAGAAGGCTCGGATGGGCGGGATTCCTTACCAGTATAGATGAGAATGAAATCTACAAAAAATTAGCCACGGAAACTCTCTATCAAGCTAGAAGAGTGGGACGGCCTAAAACAATATGGCAGGATAGAGTCAACACAGATGCCAGGAACATCCTTGGAATAAGGGACTGGATGACTGCTGGGGCGATAGGGATGAATGTCAGAAACTTTTGATAAGGGCCCTGATTCAGCAATGAATTGTAGCGCTGTGTGTGTGTATATATATATATATACACTTAGCTGCCGGGAAGATAAGAAGCTGCCGGGAAGATAAGATACGTATGGTTCTCTGCCGGCATTGTGCGTTGCCGAAAAGAAGACGGCCATCAAGTAATCTTGATTAATCAGGCATCGGATCTAGAAGTTTTCGCCTGACTGCACAGGTTTCATCTCTTCTTCTCGTTCTTCAAAGTATTTTTTGTCTTCATTGGTGCCCAAATAACATTGAAGATTTTGGTTAAAATTTCTCACAGCTCCAGTTTACTAATTTGTTTATTTTCTTACTCTTATTTCTCACTTATTTTTTCATTATTCACTTTTATTTTGCTTATCAGTACTTTTCATAATTTTTTTTCAGAATATGATATATGCCTCATTTCCTCTATTCTAATTTCTGACTGTTTCCCATCAAATCCTCCCCATGTCTAGCATCCTAACCACCTGCCACGTTAACTCGCAATCCCTTCCCGCCCATTATGATGAATTCCTGCAGTACTTTTCTCAAAACTTTTTTCACATCATCGCAATCTCAGAAACCTGGCTCAAACCCTATATTCCGTCCTCATCTGTCTCCATACCTAATTACACCCTCATCCGCCACGACCGGGTCAGCCGGACTGGTGGTGGAGTGGCCATATTTGTCCATGATAGCCTGAAGTCCCGAATCCTTGATTACTCCCCACCCTCCGAACATCCACAAGTGGAGTACCTTCTAGTAGAAATTACCTGTAATAATTCACCTCTCCTTTACATAGTGATCTACCGTCCTCCCCTTGTTCCATTTGATCCGTCCTTAGAATCAACCTTACTCAACTTTGTTCCCCTCTATCCTAGAATAATCATCGCCGGTGACCTCAATACCAATTTCCTTTCTAATTCCAAAGACAAAACCTATCTAGAAAACCTATTTTTTTCCCTCCATCTCTTTATTGTTCCTTTTTATCCTACTCACCACACCCACAAGGCCGACACTTGGTTAGACTTCTTCATTATAGACTCCGAAACAAATCTCCTCTCCTCTTCTCAACTGCCAGTATCCTTCTTATCCTCTCACGACATGATCCAAATAACATATAATATCCAAACCCCTCTGATTCATCCGAGAACCTTCACTTTCCATCAGATAGACACTCTCACCCGTGAAAAAATACTACCTGACCTTGAAACCTTAGACTTGAACGAAATATATTCCTGCTCCTCCATCGACTCCATGGTTGAGATCCTGACTTCCAATCTCCTCAATATCCTTAACACCCATGCTCCCATAAAAACCTCAACCTTTCGCCGTCGGCCTGCACCTTGGATGTGTCAAGAAATCAAGGATCTGCAGAAGAGGCGTGATGCTGCCCGCAGACGCTTTAGACGTACTAGGCTTACAGATGACTATCAAGCGTTTAGGGTGCTCCGCAATTTGACACAAACAAGAATTCGGCGAGATAAAGCTTCCTACTTCCATGAAGCCCTGTCATCTGCCCCAGATCCCAAATCTAAATGGCTAATCCTTCGCAAACTTTCCCTCTGTGAACCTTCTAGATCCCCTTCCTCACTGTTCTTTTCCGTTTCACCTGACGATTTAAATTCACATTTTATTTCTGCCTCCTCTACCTCTTCTCTTCCCTCCTCTTCCAACTATGCTCCTGAGTCATCATTTAATGATGACGACTTTTATTTCTCCTACATTTCCCCGACTGACTTACTAACCGCAGTAATGAAATCCCACACCAATTCCATAGGACCAGATGGCATTCCTGTCAAATTGATAAAATTATGTCTCCCCGAAATCCTCCCAGTTCTCCTTTTCATTTACAATTTCTCCCTACAGAACTCAATATTCCCTTCCTCTTGGAAAAAAGCCATTGTACTCCCTTTAAATAAAAAGCCTAATCCATCCTCTCCCGAAGACTTTCGCCCAATCTCAATTCTTTCCAATCTCTCAAAACCCCTAGAAAGATTGGTGCAATCCCAAGTTTCCAATTTCCTAGAAAAGTCTAACCAACTCGATCCTCTCCAATCTGGTTTCCGTCCCGGCTACTCCACACAATCCGCTTTAATCAAAATTACTAATGATGTTCAGACTGCAATAGATAATAAACAACTAACTGTCCTTATACTTCTTGACTTCTCTAAAGCCTTTGATTCCATTAACCATCCCATCCTTTTCAACAAACTAAAATCACTCTCCTTCTCCAATAGCTCCATCTCTTGGTTCCAATCTTTCCTATCACAACGCACCCAAGCAGTCTCCATTCCTAATCAACCACTTTCTGCCTA